CTGTTTGGATTTCATTGAGGATGTATTTTGAGACAGGGTCTCACTCTGTAGCTCAGGCTGGCCTCCAGTTGATGATCCTCCTGTCTCAGCCCCCAAGCGCCCAGATTACAGGTGTGTGTCACTGTGACTAGATTTTGTATTAACTATTGAGCATTCAGAATTTGCAGATAAGGAGGAGGTGGGGTCCACACTCACCTGATTTAGTGTACAGACAATAAAGCAGACAATGAGTGGACAGTTGGCTCTGTTGACCATTCCCACCCTTCCAGAATAGGAGTTTGATTGGGATGTGTGAGTCCTACAACTGATGCCCTTTTCCAGCAGATGAGGTGGCCATGTTAATAATGCCAAACAAAGCACTACAGTGGCAGGCTAATGCCCAGGGATTCTAGAAAGCTCCCCTATGGAATAATGACCTAGCCGGCATTCATTCTTCGGCCTCTGGGCTGTCTACTGTGACTCCATTACCTGGAATCAAGCTGGAAAAATACAGACAAAAATCCCCAGGTCCCCTGGGCTGTCAGACAAGGAGACCCTCATAACCATCACCCAACTAGAAATTCTCACCCCCAGCCCTTGTCTTGGAGATTTCTGCTCCACGGGCCTTCTGGGGGATGGCACCCATTGCCCATTACAACTTCTGTTGCTGATGGCGGATAGAAACGACCTTTAGGAAGACTTCATCCCTTCTATGTCCCTTGGTTCTGGTGGACCCAGTATCTGGAACAAGGGTCTTTTTGACATGAAGGGGGTCTGCTCTTGCACTGGGAGCAGGAGGCCATCACACACCATCTCCACAGAGAACTGAAAAGGAAGACTTCTTTAATGGGAAGGCAAATGGCAGTCTCCAGCTTCCTATATTTAGCGCTTCCTGAGAGCTGCTATTTTGGGCTATGTGTGAATGGAAGCAGACAGCCTGGGTTTGGAGTGTAGCAAGAAGCAGTAAAAATGTGACCTAAAAAAGACAGATCCCAGCAGAGTAATCCCAGACCACGTGCCAGAGATGGGTCCTCGTCGGTTAGTGGAGGGCCCAGCCTTGCAGCCAGAAAAGGAAAAGAAGGCTGGCTGGGTGCCATCTCCAGCTTCTGTCCTGGAGAATCTCTTTCTCCAGAGGACGTTGCATGTGGAAGGCTCACTCTGGAACAGCACAGGGCTGTTATCTAATTAGTGGGCTTCCTCAATTCGAAGAGATGCTTCCTCTTTTCCAGCCATAGTTGAGGAAATTGATAGATCGCTCTGCCTCACCCAAAGCTCTGATATTCTTCTATCTCCCCCTCCCTTTCCCCCTCTCTCTCCCTCTCTCCCTCTCCCTCCCCCTCTCTCCCTCTCCCTCCCCCCTCTCTCTCCCCTCCCCTTCCCCCCTCTCTCCCCCTCCCCCCTCTCTCCCCATCCACCTCCCCCCTCCCTTCCCCCTTCTCTCTC